GCAATAAAAAGTAAGTGATAAACTGGATTTGAATTGGATCTGAACTTGATCTCCAATTTAGAGAGGTAACAACTACATACTGGTGAAGTTTCAGGAGCAATGAGTTCTGTATGACATTTCGTGTAACAACAAACTTCCACTATGCTGTAAAAAGCAATTTTTTTTGTACAATGTTTTTTATATTTGATTGCCTTTAATAATAGAAATCTATTAGTGATCTGCAGAGATAAATTTTCCCTCAAAATGGAATCTCATGCCTCTGTTTAATTAAAACCACAACGCATATCAGCACACACATAAAAACATAGTAATTTTTATTCCCAAAGTTTATATTTATTCTAGTATATATTATGGACATTATTTATAACAAATAATAAGAGCTTTAATAAAAAAATGGATTTTGATAATAATGAAAAGAATAAAAGATAATGACTGACATATTTATATTAAATTGTTTAAAAGGTTTTTTGTAATAAAAACCCATATTCTATATGTTTAGCACAAAACAAAAACAAAAAAAATAAATTTCTCTATGCTTTTTGATATTTCAATTTTATATGTAAAATCTGGCGATGCCTAATATAAAAGTCAGAAAAAACAAAAGGTTATAAATACATTTTTTTTATATTTTCAGAATTTTTGAGATTTATTCTACCAAATAAAAAAAAAGTTATGAAAAAAAATTTTTAATTTTGCTATAATTGGCTTGGTCTAAAGACATCCTAAATTTTGTGCAAATTTTAAAAGTATAGAAGTCATTTTCTGTCCTACATTTTTAAAAAATAGCTCTATTAATTGATATAAGAGGTCTTTAATTTTAATGTAATGAGAGATTTTCTCAAAAATTATTTGTTGTAGAGTTCTATTCTTTTTTAAAACATGTATATACTCATGAGGAATTTGAGCATCAGATCATTGCTAAATTTAGACTAGTTTTCGATCATCGTTACTAAATTTAGACCAATACTCAACAATTATATCTAATTTGGCAGGAAGGAAAATAATTTTTTAACCAAAATCACATGAAGACCTTTTTCGAAAAGTTTTATTGCATTTTTGAAATTTGAGCACATAGTGCAGCAATAGGAGGTCTTTAGACTGAGCCAACCATACAGTGCAGATCATCTATACTCAAAAGTTAAAATTTTTAAAATATTATGTGATCCACACATCGGATTTTAAAAAACCCACCACCATTCAATTCAGCTTTAAAAGGGGAGTCTATTAATTTAAAAAAAAATTGTCTCAAATTTTCTTTTCATAGATTTTTTAAATTTGAAAGTTATGCTCAGAAAAACAACAATAATTTTCGTGTAATCTCACTACCAAATTTGGTAATGATTTTTTTTATTATCATCCCTGTAACCGTTCTTAATTGCGAATATGTAATACGAAATTTATTTCACGCGTAACGCGCTAAATTAAAACGAAACGTTACAACTTTACTTATATTATTTGTTATATTACTTATTATTTATATTACTTATTATTTATATTACTTATTTATATTACTTATATTATCATTTATATTACTTATATTATTATTATTTATATTATTTTCTTTATGTATATGAGTTACAAATTAAGTGCTGCAGCTTTCCGGGAAATTCTAAGATATTGTTATGATTGATAATAATTTATTTATTTAATTGTAATATTATATTATGCATTTTTGTATAAAAAGATACAAAAGAATAATTCTAAAAAAACACAAAAAGAATTGGAAAAAAATAAATGGTGAAATGAAAGGTAAATTGAATATTAGTGAAAATAAAGAAAAAGAATTAAACCAAAAAGTGGAAGTTTTAGAAGCAGAGGATGCTATTTATGAGAAGCAAATTCCGTAATTAAAGAAGTTTATGAAAGAGTAGCAAAAGAAAGCCTTCCGTAATAACTTGTATTTTTTAATAATAATTAAAACAATTAGTATTTTGACGTAAGGAAAAGGGATTTCTTTACAATCCCAGTTAAACATTTCTTGAATTTTTTTTTTTAAAAAATAATGAGTAAATGAGTAAAATTGTCAAATATAAAAATAAACCATATTTAATAACATACCATCACAATAAAATTTAGATTTGTTCAAAGGAATATCAATAACCAGTCCACTTAAACCTACATCTGTTTTATAACCACTTTTTCCTTGGATAGAATTTGCCAAATCTTCTCCTTCTGTAAGTAAGAGAATATAACTTAAAATCTCAACATTTGTCACTTCACCTTCCTCATCAAAATTGTTATTAATTGACGATCCGTCTATTAATGAGAGACATGTCATATAAAATCTTGGGGATAATTGTTATTAATGAAATAATAAAATTCCCAAATCTCACCATCCTCAGATGTTAACTCTCATGTATACACAAAAAGTATAAATAACAGCCTTAGAATTCTTTCAAGATTGTTAAATACTACTTTAAAATTCTTTTGCAGTTATTTTATTGACTTGACTTATAACAACATGTGGTTCATTTGGTAAAATAAAAGTACTTTAATACATTGTGCTTTATTATTTGTTAAACATTGTCAACTGACGATTTTTACTATTTTTGCACCGCCGATCACTATAAGAATTCTCTGCTTCATTCGCGGATCGTCAATTAATAAATAAATATTTAAAATGATAAAAATGACATGTTTGCATCTACCTCTAAATGGTTTCATATTATATAACTTAATTCAATTCTTAAATTTTTTCATAAAAATTGAATTTGCAAATAATATTTTAATTCAACTTATCTGTAATATTATCAGGTTCCTTGTTCCTTTTATATACTGTTAAGTTTGTTTTTTTTTCATTAAAATATACAGTACATATATATATTCTAAATTTCATTCATAATACTGCCATTGGAAAACGTTTGATTAGGTTTGATCAGGGCATGGAGTGTGATAAAGAAGCTTGAAATTTATGTGCCTATAAAAAAAAATTTGGATGACTATTGTAAAATCATATAAACAATGTAACAATTTGGAAGTTTAGAAATTCGTTTTTAAAAATATTAGATAAAGGAATTAATGAACTTACGCCAGAAGAAATCAACAATTTTAATTCAAATGATTCTGATGAAGAAAATAATGAAAATGATGCGGATCTAAATGTAAGTTCCAAGAAGGTTTTTCATCAACGTTATTGAATGCTATTAATGAAATAAAGATTTGGCACAGATTATGTTTTAAGTATATAAACTTAATTCAATAGTTAGTTTGTTAAAAAATATTTTATTACCAATTGTTAGCATCTTTATTGTAAAATGGGGCATGCTGCAACAAAACCAGACAAAGTGAACATTGGTATTACCAGAATTTCAGGGATCAAAATTTAGTCATTTGTAATGTGATCATAATAATAATTAACAGTTTTATAATGTCTCATTTG